CTGGCATTGGCAAGAGCGGCCTCCCGGAAGCTTCCTCAGGGTCTAGCACGTTTGGGCATTGGCAAGAGCAGCCTCCTGGACGGGCCAACACTATAAAAGACTAGCCCGCCCTACAGGAAGAGGGAGTTCATAGGGACTGGCCAGGCACTTCACGTGCAGTTCAGGAGGCAGGAGGTAGTCTTCAAGATTCGGCAGCAGCACTCTGGAGGAACGCTGCAGGAGTAGTAGTAGCGTTAGCAATGGTCTTCAACGCTGGGTGCTAGGAGCTAGAGTAGCATTGGAGAGAGAGAGAGAGAGAAAGAGAGAGAGAGAGAGAGATGGTTGGCGGAGGCCAGGGAGACTTACCTGTGGCGCCATAGCTCCAGCTTCGTCTTCGATGTACCTGCAACAAGGCGCCACCTTCACAGGTTAGTACCGGACCGAGAGAGAGAGAGAGAGTTCTTCTTCTTCCTCATCTAAGTCCACCATCTCTTCCTCACCCTCTCGCTACCTGACTTCTCAGTATCTGCAGACTGCGAGAGAGCGAGATTGGTGACTTTGGGACTTGACGACAGTTGGATCCAGACTTGACATTGGGATTCAGACATTTGACGAGGGACTATTTGGGACCTGTACCGAAGACTTCGTGTTGACTACATTCCCATCTTCCTCTCTTCTTCGTCTGTGTATGGTTGGGGACTGGCGCGTTCTTCCTGTGTGAGCGCCAGGCCCCTTCACACCATAGAATGATGATGATGTATGTTCAGTCTGCATTGCAACATCGATTGGGCTGATCATTGGTATTTTAGCCTTCCGCTGCGCTATCTTGTACTATGTGAGAGAGGTCGGTCTTGTTCTGGTCTGCACCATTACGGTATGCGACAGTTTGGTATCGGAGCAGACCTCTCAATCCGAGGATCTGCCCAATCAAGGAGCCTGCTTGAAGTTATTAATTGATTGATAGTTCGATGATTGATTGATAGCTTGATGATTGATTGATTGATTGTTAATTAAGTAGGACTTCGTCAAATCTTGGCA